ATTTTGGTGATTTCCACGATGTATGCCCTATCCACCTCCAGCGTCTTCTCCCTTGATCTGAAGCTGGTTTGTTCTCTATCATAGTGATTGTTTGCCGATGGTATTTATCCAACGAATATTGAGTATCATATGTAGACAATTGTCTATAAGTGCCTGTACATTTTTGATGATGGATGTAGTAGTTCTTGAATGTTTTGGTCTGTGAAACAGAATTGTGTTAACGTGGATGTAGAAGATTCTGACTTTTTTATTGTGTGACAATTAATTATAGTTCCATGTATTCTTGAATTGTTGCAGTACTGACCTTTCTTTGCCAATCTGTGCCTTCACATTTACATCAGATCCTCGTTATTTATCCATGATGCTGACCAGGTACTTGAAACATTCCAGCTCGTCCAGGACCTGTCGATAAAGTGTGATTGGGTTTTTGCTCTCTGTGTTGTATGTATTTGAGGAAATTGTTTTCCTCTGAACATGTTGCGAGGCACGGGATGTCTGCAACTGTATTCGTTGCTGTTTGTGAGATAGAAGAGCTAAGTCATTCACGAAGTCGAAATATTTCAGCCGTGTCCATGTTGTTCATTGTATTTGGTGGTTCCTCTGACCATTCTCACCATTTTCGTTCGTCTCTCCCAATTAGTCCATTTCGTCTCATGTTATTTCCATAATATTTGTTCTCCATTCCAACCTTGGTGTTTAGTTTTCCCATAATGATTATTAGGTTGTTTCCTGAGCATGTCAGTGTGATTGACTGCAGCTTCTCATGAAACTCATATTTGTTTTGTTTGTTGAAATCGCTGAAGAGTGTATGTCACTGAACAAAATTCATTGTGATTCTCTCCTTCTTTGTTGTATTGAAGGATGCTTTGATGATCCTGGATTCATGAGATTCCCATCCCATATGTATTTTTGGTACTTCTTTGAACGGCATGACCACAACTCCTTGTGTATGTGTAGGTTTATCTTCTTCATGACTAGAGTACAACAGATTCTCTTTCGAGTCGTATCTTTTTTATTCAGCGTGCGTCCAATGAGTTTCACTTATTCTGAACATCACCAGGTTATATATCCTCATTTTCGTAGATATTTAACTAGTCCTCTCAGTCTCCTACTTTGTTCAAACACTCCATGTACATGTGTTAATTGTTGCTCTGTTTGTTAGAAGTGACATCGACCTCGACTTCCAAAGAATGTTGGTTTTTACTTCATCATGAGGCGTCATAATTTTTCTTTATGTATAACCTTCAACTCTGATGCAGCGTTTTAATGGGTTTCCATAGTTTGCATTTTCCTTAGCATGGCATTGTTAACCTTTTGTCCGACCCTCCTGCTTTTTCCGGATTTGTGACCTCGACAGTCTTCAGGTTAAATAATAACAATATAGAATTGTTATGATTAGTTTCGTAGGATTCCGTTCTTCATTTTTAATACAATTTGATCTGTAATCACTACTATGTTATAATGATAAATACAATGATGGTATACAACGAATACTGCAACCGGATAGTTTAGTTTTGGTTCTTTTATATAAAATTACATTTTCCATGTAAAACTCAGTAATTTTTATTGTCTTCTAGCACGATTTTTCTTTTGTCGTCTTTAAAAGTTTTTTTACTCTTGTTAGTTACACTTCAATGTTTGTAAAGAAGGAATTGTTTAGTAGACAAGAAAGAGAACTTATTTATTTTTCGCCTTATCATTGACATATTGAATTATTCATGCTTTGTTTTTGTCATTTTGCATTTACTCACTTTTAAGGTGTAACACTGAAGTGAATGAGTAGTAAAACCTTTTCAATAATATAAGTATATATGAGATGTGACAATGATCTTTTTTTTTTCTTTTCAACAAAATCGATAATATTAGTCACAATTGATTGATCACTGGGTGTCGAGTCACCTAGAGTGGTGACCACATTGCAACATCATCGATAGCATTCGATCTGCACTAATAAGAACTAGACACACGTGACATTGATCGCCACCCAGTGATCAATCAATTATGATTACATCTCAGTCCTACAGGAGGTTGGTCGCGGCCCAGATAACCCAGTGGTAACGTCTCCAACTGTGAAGCTGGGTGACACGAGATCAAATCGGCCAGGGAGTACCAGTTTCCTCAAGATTAAAGGTACACCTTGCTGACGAGTGCCAAGTAGCACGAAACCCGGATCCAGGGTTTCTTGTCGACTACCTCCAACCACCATCTAATCTCAATAGTAGTAGTGTTTACCAATTTATGCCACAAGATTTTTTTCTATTTATCATACTTCTATCTTATTAAATCTGAATGAGTTCTGTTGTGTTCTACTTTTTTTTAAAGATTATTCCTTTATAAGTTGAGGATAATCGACTATTTCTTGTTTAATTTTATAGATACACTCACTTAACAGTATTATTATCCAAATGATGTACAGGGTCAACTCATTTGTATTAAGGTGTAGTCGAGATCACGGTGGTTCAGTGGTGAAACAACTCGACTTTCAATCAATAATTTACAGGTTTGAACACAGCTTCACTTATTATGGTTTAGTCAGCGTTCATACATACAGTGTGACTGAAAAGCGAATTGACAAATATATATATATATATATATATATATATATATATATATATATATATAATAGCATTTAGAAATCTCTATTTTCTAGATGGATTCTCATTTCATATTTAAATCTATGATTTGGACATGTTTCATGCATGCTTTCCAAATAGCTTCTACGATAATCTTTTTACTGATCCTAGAATCAGTTGAATACAATGGGAAATCATTCATTTTGTGGTATGGTGCTGTGAAGTCAATAAATATTAAAGATTTTTTGATATAAAAAGAGAGATCCCATGATTTACTGTCTTGGAATCTTATTTAACTCAACTAGTAGTAATGTAAAACACGACAATAGGCAGATGGTACGTTTATTTATTGCGAGAAGTTACATAGCCTTCAATTGTGCATTTACATCTTCCGGTGTGTTCTACAATCTGAACTGGCTTCCAAGTGATCTGCCAATGCTGTGCTTTCGACACACTGAAACTTTCCACTCTGTCCGACAATTGTTACAACCTCGACACCACGTTCCACTAAAGACTACTTGCAAATAATCTTGTGAGTAGCAGCCATTATAGTAGTTATTTTGGAGTCTCTTGTCTTCCGAGAAATCGGAGAGATTGTATTAAGCGGTTATGAAAAATTTTTCTTTGATTACTTACTTTGTATCTTCTCGATGGTATCATTTATTGAAGCCGTATGGTCGTATTTGTAGTGACTTTGAAATTGTATTAACCTATTCAAAAGGAGACAGATCTTCATCCATAAGTTTACATAATGTTGTGTGGAATGTTACATTGACTACATAAAACAAATCCTTTGAAAATGTATCTCGGAATAGCATCTATTTTTTGAGAGTAAGAAATAGTTCATAACTCAGTACAAGAACATCTTATCAATTCTGATCACATTTGCTTTATCAAAATTATCTTTCAAAACAATTCATACCAAAGAAACATGAATCAAAAACATGTGTATTGTAGAGGCTTTAACAATTTAACAGTTCAAGTCTAAACTCTTTGTACAAAATTAGCAGCTAGTCTCTTATTTTACTATAACTCTAACATCTCTTCTAATCTGTCATCGGTTTTTGATAATCTTGTCCAGTTTTTCAGAGTTATTGTTTAGTTGTTGTTACCATCACTTATTTCGTCTTGTCTACTGAGTGGATGATTAATGATGATGGTGAAGTAATCGAACGCTGTCGACAACTTCACTTATCTTTGAAGTCTGATCAGCCCTAATGTGTTGGTGTCTGACGAAATCTCAGCACCGATTCAGAAAGCGCGTTTGGCTTTTGCCAACTTAAATCATCTATGGCGAAGGCGAGATATCCGTCTATCAATTAAAGGACGCGTATACTGCGCGGCAGTCTGTTTTGTTTTAATTTACGGCTGCGAAACGTGGTCATGAAGAGTAGAAGATACTCGTAAACTACTGATATTTGACCACAGATACCTTAGAATTATTGCTTGTATCTGCTGAGATCACCGGGTAAGTAATAGTGAGGTTAGACACAGGGTATTACGAAATGATTGTAAATCAGTTGATGAGGTTGTGAATGTTCATAGACTGAGATGGTTGGAACACGTGTTGCGTATAGCTGAACACCGATTACCACAACGCGCAATGCTGATTAGTGTTGGAGACGGTTGGAAGAAATTTAGGAGCGGCCAAACTAAAACGTGGCATCAGTACTTGAAGTCACTAACTTGTAGTTTCAACCATGTTGGTAGATTCGGAATACTTGGTTGTGGTCCGTGTGACTATCATAACCAGTGGTTGGAAATTCTTTGTAACATGGCTCAGAATCGATCATAATGGCGTCGGTGCATACACTCCCTGTCTTCCCGTAAACTGTGAGATTAAAACTGCTTTATATCTTTCTTTCTACCAACTAATTCTTTCTTCCTGTATTATATCCATATACACATACTTTCTTTTGTATATTAACACCATTGAATTAACTACTTCTATGAATTTGGTGTCCGTCTTGTTGTGTTAATGAGGTATGGCAACTTGAACCGATGCATATATGTGCCTGGTCCTACGTTGTAGCTGACTGACTGACTGACTAATACCAATGAAATGTAGAACTGTAGTTATCCATGTGAATTTCCAAACTTTATCACTAGCAAAGCATTGAATTGTAACTCATTTACCAAGTATTCGATTCTGCGCTATACCATTTGTATCCGAGATAATGATATGTCCCGACTACCAAAACTGAAGAAGATGAAAAAAGATTCGAAAATGAATTTATGGATTAAAAGTTAAATGTTTTTTAATCACTAATTCACCGATCTGCAATTGCTAAGATCAGTGGGCTTAACTTCCAGTTGTTAAGTTTAGGGTTTCGTAATATTTACAACATTATTAAGAGTGTTCATACGTATATACCTATATACTGTACTTTGATATACTGTACCATTTATTTATGTTTTTACTTTTAGTTGTAGGCAACCAATACCATTGGATAAATTGATTCCATTCAAAACAAGTGTTATTATTGTATTTCATAATGAAGCTTGGTCAGCTTTATTGCGTACTGTTCATTCAGTTCTTGATCGTACACCAGTACAATTGCTTCATGAAATTATTCTTGTAGATGATGCTAGTACTCAATGTAGGTATTTAATGCTATTTCATTTTTATTTTAACTAAAATTCTAATTTCCTACTAAAAGTATTGAATTGAATAAAATGATTATCACTGAATTCAAATCTTGATGGTATATTCCATTGTTGTATTCTAAACTAGACGAACTGCGAATTTCGTAATTCCTTCTTACAAGATCTTAAAAATATCCATGACATATTTTCTTATTCCTTAGTTTTTTTTTGAGTATATGTTCTTATTTATTTATTCTAACACATAAATATTGGTACAAGGGGACACCAGTTACATATGTGCCACACAAATCTCACTTGATATATGTGAGGGCTGTGATACTGCCCGGGTGCCCAAACCGAAACAGGTGGTTTTCTTAGGGGGTCACACTCGGAGCCTTCGACCTAAAAGTCGAATCCATATGGCAGTGAAGCAATGTCAGAAGATGCAGTCACATGGTAACCGGTGACGAACAATTGTTTCATACGCTATTTGTTTCCCCAGAGTCCTAGAGTCCATGTACACCGTTGGTTTGGAATCAGGGTTTTCCACCTCCACTAGGTAGATCCTCCATATCCACCGACCTGGTGAAAGCACCGGACATTCGCTTTTAGTCCTCTCAATTTCGTAAACAACAGTAGTGCCACGAGAAGGCGATGAGTAGGACTTCCCTGGCAGAGGCTATATACGCTTGGCCGTGTGAGAGCATTTCGAGAGGAAGAGCGAACTCTCCCTACTCTCGGCATTTGGGGGCAGTATATGTTCTGGTTGTTATCCACTCGATAATAGCAATCACTGATGGATAGAGACGCTAAGTATGATAGTTCGTAATCAGTCAAGATCGTACAGATTCTCAATGTTTAGTTTGTCCCATTGAAATTACAGCTACCACTGTTTTCACTTCTTTAATATTTATCTTATTCATTCCATCTCTTTGTGCTAAAATAATAAAGTGATTTGCGATAATATACATTTATGTTGATTAAGACTGAGGGACTTAATATGAATACATATCTACAAAATATGAAAGGCATTAAGTGAGTTTTTCATACCATTCTCAATGTACTTGTCTAATCATAATAGAGGACTAGGTTTCTATGAAATCCAATCGAAGGGGGAGCTTATTATTGAAATGTGCTCTCTCTCTTTCTCTCGTCTTGTGTAGTTCTGCACTATCCCAGTTTGTTCATATGTATCTATGATAATTTTTATTGTATCCAGCCCATTTAGGTGATCAATTGAAAACTTATGTAAATTCACTAAATAAACCTGTACGAATTGAACGAATGTCAAATCGAAGTGGTTTAATACGTGCTCGATTACATGGAGCAAAAATTTCCACTGGTAAAACGCTTACATTCTTAGATGCACATTGTGAAGTGACTATTGGTTGGCTAGAAACTCTACTTAGACATATTTCAGAAAATCAAGAACGTATAGTTTGCCCGATTATTGATGTTATTAGTCATGATACGTTTGAATATCTTCTTGGTAAGTTTTCTTTTTTCTTTTTCACTTAATACTTTGCCTTTTACTATTCATAAAATTTTGTATTTTTATTGTTGTTGATATTTAAAGTTGGATTTGATCACTCTCTACTGGTAAACGAGCTGGTTAGACGAATGTTAAGATATTTCCTTTAGTGACAAACTTTTAGTATATTTTGAATGGTGACTAGCAGTGAAATACGATGGACTTGTTCGTAATATTCAGGACTCATCAGTTAGTGAATGTATCTTTATACCAGTGTGTGAACACTACCACTGTTTGGGTGTGCATAAATATTTAAATAGATAAAAACTTAAATCTTGAATTTTACTACTAGTCAGTATTGCACTGATGACATTAGAATGAGAATCATTCAATTCTTTAACCAACTGTAGTTGAAAATGTCAACACAACTCGACTTAGTTCATCGATGGTTGTAAAGAGACTGTAAGGTTCTAGGTTCAGTCTTTGTATGCTGTTGTAAGTGTCCGCCGCTGTATGGTCTCATAATCAGATAAAATTACTGTTTACTTTTCAATGAGTTTAGCTGGTCCCTTAGTGCTGTTGTGTTCTCTAAACTATAGTGTATAATTTCGAAGCTCTTATTTTCGTTCTGGACGATATCATCAGCCTGTATTTCCTGTAAAATCGAGCTTTCTAGTTATTCTACAACTGTTAAATCGGTTCATTCTTATGGCATTATTTGTGATTGATTGTCTTTGTATGTTTTGTTGTCTTCGTTTTTGCTTTCATTCCTGTTGATTGTCTTTTGCTGTTTACCTTTGATCATATAATTGACTAACGCTTTTCGTACCAATTATTATATTCGACCTGTGTTAATGTTTTTTATTGTTGCTAATCCGTCTAAACTTCATACTATCAGAAATTTGGTGAAATTCTTAAAATTTTGACACTTACAGTCGTAGTTGTTTGCATATATAGATATGAACGATAACAAATCATTTTACATCGCCATTAATCTTTGTTCATGTATGGCTTGATGTAACCTTGATGTGATTTATTTTGAGGACAATGTTGCATCTGTTTTCATATGCTGTTGGGTCTTTCGACTTTCATAAATTACAATAAAGTGATCGCGTTTGTTTATCAGCAACATCGATTCCGAACGGTTTCAGAATTCTCGATAAGACGCATTTATGATCTGTATGTGTAAAGGTTGTAGATGATTCCAAATAATGTGGTAAAGCTGATCCTGTTTTATGTTAAGAAACTTGATAATTTGTAAGTCATTTGTAAATTTACTGATTCATTTACTTGACCCTGAGCGAAACATTTTGTGTAAAGCCTATATATGAATATCAAAGCAGGTGATGGGGTTTAAACCTGAGACTAAGCGACCCCCGAATGCCCTGGTGCGGCCGAGAGTAGGGAAAGTCAGATCTAACCCCCCCCCAATAAAAATACTCTCACATGGCTACACGTACAGAACCACTGTCAGGGAAGTCCTGCTCACTACATTATCGCGGCACTACTGTCATTTACGAAATTCAGAGGATGAAAAGAGAATATCCGGCGCTTTCACCAGGTCGGTGGATATGGAGGATCCACATAGGAGAGTTGGAAAACCCTGGTTCCAAACCAACGGCGTACATGGACTCTAGGACTCTGAGGAAACAAATTGTGTATGAACCAATTGTTCGTCACCGGCTACCATGGGACTGCATCTTCTGACGTTGCTCTACTGCCTTGTGGATTAGACCTTTAGGTCGAAGGCTCCGGGTGTGGCCTCCTAAGGAAACCACCTGCTTCGGTTTGGGCACATGGGCAGTATCACATCGATGATAACTACTGGAAAATGTAATCATGTTTTGTTTTTCATTCAGTCAAAAATATGATAGCATTTGGTTTTATTTCTTTTATACCACGTCACTTTTATGCTTCCCTTTATTCTCGTTTTGCGTATTTTATTTTGTAACCTATACAGTAACTCGCCTATGATGCAAACTCTGTCCTATCTAAACGATCTCATGTCACTGACGGATCAAAGGTTAAATGCTACCACTGACTACAAATACTGAACGAGTCTTTCTGAAACCATGTATATCATTCAAACTGGCCTCCTTCAACGTTCACACGCGAATGCAGATCGGACAACAGATAGGGTTGATTGTCTTTAGAAAGTCTTAATATCAGTGCCTGTTGTCTGTCCGAGACTTACATTCAAGACTCTAGTGAAGTATTTCAAATTCGTTGTCTATCTGTCCCTTCAAGAAGCTTGTTTCACGTGCGTTTATCCAGAGACCCTTTGGCATCTTCGTCTGGTTTTGCTGGCGTTGGTGTTGAACTAAGCTCTAGAGCTGAGGCAGCACTGACCGATTTGTTCCCTATTCACAGTTGGCTATGTGCTTTTAGATTAGAAAGCTCCATCAAAGTGCGAAGAAATTGGTGTGAGAAACGATACGTTTTCGTTATCTCCGCCTACACCAGTTAACTCTTCTACAGAAAGTGCATTCAACAGATATTTTAGTACTGACCGGAGACTTAGATGCTTGGGTCAGGCGTCTAGGCACAGAAGAGAGTGACTCAGGTGGTCTATGGGGACTTATTGGTCGCAGGTCAGATAACGGTGACTGTCTACAACTCATTTCTGGCTAACATTAACTATCGATACGGTCATTTCCGATATGTTACCTGACATAATCCATCTGCATCTCAAACTTGGATTGAGGTTAATCACATGGCAATCAGCTACTGCTGTTGTGATCGTGTACTAGATTGCCACTAACTTTTGAAGTACCTATCTGAACTCTGATCACGCCCTTGTTTGCGTTAATCTCACCTTACTATCCATTAGCCAAAAAAATCCATCGTCATAAAAAGATCGATATCAGCAAATTGGTTGTAGCTTCTGTTGCAACTAAACATCAAACCGATCTAGGTTCAAAGCTAGCTTCTACCCCACCGAAAAGTATAGATGAGCATTGACTGGAGTTGCATGACACCATGAAAATGGCAAGTCGCTTGCAGCCTCGCGAAACGTCCCGCATAAAAGTGGTCAGTATGTGACATGGCATCGTAGTATAAAAGAGAGCTATACAATTCTGGTTTCTGCTAGTCATTCATGACTCCCTGGTTGTAGTCGTAGAGATGGTACAACACAGTGGCTTGAGTTGTTATCAAAAATAGCTCAGAATAGAAACCAGTGGCGATCCTGCTGTAACTTTCTCCATACAAGTAGACGTAACGTATTTAACTGAAAGAATTCTTTCTGGTTGTGTTTTTACAAACTGAGCTACTTCTCCCATTATTATTATTATTATTATTATTATTATTATTATTATTATTATTATCATTATTTTACTCTCATACACTAATTTCTGTTCGGTGTTGTCTTGTTTTTTTTCTTATACGCACTTTGCATTCGCTATCTCTTTATATCCTGATTGTTATTATGTGACGCATATGTATTTGGTACCCTTATGTACTAGTATTTATATGTTCAAATAATAATAACAAGTGGTTAAAGTTTAAATGCTTATTGTGATTATAATGGTTAATTATCGGAAAAGTCTCGGGAACACTGTGATGATAATGTAACGTTCAACATTCAACAGGTTTACATCTAACCTGAAGGTACGTTTTGTGCTGAGTAAGAGTAAATTTTAAAAACAATCTATGTAAGTGAATCTAGAAGAGAAGAAAAGAGAAATAGTGAGCCAGTAACTTACTAACCACATAAGATGCACTATTGATGGTGAAAACAATTGATAACAATCATTAATAACAAGTATGAGGTCAAGAAAATCTGGTAATCGAAACTAGACGTTGATAGAGTAACATTTCGAACGTGTTATAATGTAAACATGGAATTGTAGTAACCATACACACATTAATGAGTAATCATCATAATTATATTGTTTGTCAGATAAAGTAAACTTAAAAAAGACTCTTGACTTGAAATAAGATGTATGTTATGAGTTTTTATTTAAATAACATAATTTACAAAATAATAAACACTTGTAGTGTCGGCTACTATGTCAAGCCCACATAGTTTATTCTATCTTCTGAACTGGCTAATTTATTCATTCTTTTTGAGTCACGATTTGACCTTTTTAACTATTCACTTATCAACCCTGACTGTTTTTATATGAGACTATGCGTGTTTACATCTTATCCTACTCATCACATGTCGTTAGTTTATTTTTGTGTGACTATAAATATCAATTAGTGCTTAATTAAATCGAGTTGGTTCACATGCCTTCTCCACCGCACATCATTTCGTTTCTCTTTGTTCCTTTGATCGTCTGTCTAGATCAATCATTGTACAAAATACTTGTATTCGATGAAACATTTGTCTAATGTATCCTAGTTTTTCTATGGTTATTTAAGATCAGTTCATGTTATAAACGATCAAACTAGGTATCAGTTTAAAGATCATATTATTTCGACTAAATAGCCTCTAGTTGTTTCTGAATTTTCTTTAAAAAGAACCATGCATTTTTTTATTATCATTTCATATCATCATCTTTTGTATGAAACTATATACACTACACTTATGATAAATAAACATTGTTTTTATTGATGTTATTGTCAATTAAGGTTCTGATCGTACATGGGGTACATTCGATTGGCAATTTAATTTCCATTGGGAAAATGTTGTAGATAGAGAAATAGAGCGTATTAATGATGAGCATAATGTTCCGTTACGAACACCGACTATGGCTGGTGGTCTATTCACCATTACTCGTGAATACTTTTATAAGGTAATAGAGTATTTTATGTATGTTCTTCTTTCATTTGTTTTTGAAATTTCGTTTAGAAAGTTGATCACAATCAGTTTAACATCTTCGCAGACAAAATGGTCCATGATTCATATAGTTGATTCCCTTCAAAAATTTCAAAAAACCATGAATGACCATATTTGTATTTCGTTGCTTTCTCTTCAGGTTCTTTGAAGCTAATTATTCTAAATTGATAACATTGTGTTAATCTCTCTCTCTCTCTCTGAAGACAAAGATCAAGCTGAAGCTTTCGGTTTGTTATAACTTCTGAGAGTTTCAATAGTGTAGAATGAAACTGTTCATTGATAACCTTGAATGATTTCATTAGATCCACATTATGCTTCATGTTTAGCAGGTGAAATCAACAAAATATGATCGTTCTTACTCGGTCCATGATTGCCGGAGTTTCAATCTTATACATGAAATTGCTAATGAAACGACATATTTCTCATGGATCTTTAGTTAATAGAACTCCAGAATATATTATATTCTTACAGAATATTTTTCGATGATATTATCATTCTGACTATTAAACTAACTAGCCCATAGCACAGAACCACTAAAAAAATTCGTCTGAGTTGCATATTTATTCTCTAACTGTTGTTTCAATCCCTATATTTTACTACAATTGTGTTTTTCATCCGGGATGTCATACTATACTCTATATTGGACAAATAGTAGACTGTTGTAGCTCACTCCAGCCTCTTGAAATAATGTATTCAATAAAACGTACATCATAGTGTACATAATTAACGTATTATATGATCAGATGTCTTTGGTACGACTCAATTAATAAACAAAGAAAACATTGAGGACAAATTCAGTCGGTATTTTGGTATTGTAGCTCAGATGACATCTCTTTCCTAGGATAATTTCTTCTCGCTTTATTCATCTCTCATGCTGTACTGATGTTAGGTATAACAGATTATACGAATGCAAACATTCTTAGTTTTAATTTAATTCAATGATTAAGCAAGGAAGTCACATTATACACTAGGATGAGTTCTAGTTTTACTTGAGTTGGTTTAGAAGTAGAATGTGAAACTGCATTTCAGGTCATCAAAACCCCGAGTACTTTATTTAATGAACCATCTAACATGTCCTTGCATACTATTCTAGGAAAATGTCATCTACTTCTTACTATTCATTTCTAGATTGGTGCTTATGACGAAGATATGGAAATATGGGGTGGTGAAAATATTGAATTATCATTTCGTGTTTGGCAATGTGGCGGTGAATTACTAATCGATCCTTGTAGTCGTGTTGGACATGTATTTCGTAAATCTTCACCATATACATGGCCCGGTGGTGTTAGTCATATATTACATAAGAATTTTGTACGTACTGCACTAGTTTGGTTAGATCAGTATAGTCGATTTTATTTTATGCTAAATCCATGTAAGTAATTGGTAAACCATATCATCATCATTATGATTTCAATTACACTTATTTGCTTTTTGTTTCTCAATAAAAATGACACGTCAATCTATCATATTTCGTTGATTATAGCTCAATCGTAACTTGGCTTTTCTTCTCAAAGGATGCTTAAATTACTTATTGTTATGACATCTTATCATGTGTACCTAACCACCGCCTACCCTAACGCTCGATGTTTGTTGGCGTGGGAATAGATTTTTTTTAAAAAGATAGGAGACTTCCAAATAACTTGTAACGTGTGATGATAGCTTAAGAAAAAGTGATTATATAACTTAGTCCGTTGCTTATAAGTTCATTATTGTATAATATTGCAAATAAGTTATCTACTAGTCAATACTAAATACTGCCGTCTTTCAATGTATTCAAATTTGACTATTAATCTGACTGAATAAAGTTATTGACCATTTTGATGTACTTTAGGGATCAAATAATTTCTTATCTATATTTTTTGTGTTCCTACCTGCGTCGTTTGATTCTCAGTCTTCCAGTACCAAGTCAGCTAACGATCCCATAAATGTAACACTTCATACATATCTTTCCATTCTGTATTTTGGAACCATATTTTCAGTGTTCATTTTTTGTCGTTATTATCGTTAGTACATTACTTTAATTCATTTTCTGTTCATTCTTTTCAATTTATCTCGATATGTTAATGTGGTATGTCGACTTATGCCAATACATATGTGCCAGACTCCACGCTTATTATGGTTGACTCACTTTGAATATTGTTAAGATATCAGGAGTCTAACACTATCAAGGATCGTGTTGTAGGTATCTTCAGAACGAAACAATTCATACTCTTAAACTTGTAAATTTGCGATTTTTACCAAGGCTCACAAGTCACACTATTGTTATTGTTGGTTATTTAAACACATAAACATTAGTACAAGGAGGAACCAAATAAATATGCGCCACATGAATCATTCTACATGTGTGAGGGCTGGGATACGTCCCGGGTGCCAAAATCAAAGCAGGTGGTTTCCTTAGGAAGTCATACCCAGAGCCTTCGACCTAAAGTTCTAATCCACAAGGCAGTGAAGCAATGTTAGAAGATGCAGTCCCATGGTAGCCGGTGACGAACAATTGGTTCATACGCTATTTGTTTCCTCAGAGTCCTAGAGTCCATGTACGCCGTTGGTTTGGAACCAGGGTTTTCCAACTCTCCTAGGTGGATCCTCCATATCCACCGACCTGGTGAAAGCGCCGGATATTCTCTTTTCATCCTCTGAATTTCGTAAATGACAGTAGTGCCGCGATAATGTAGTGAGCAGGACTTCCCTAACAGTGGTTCTGTACGTGTAGCCATGTGAGAGTATTTTTATTGAGGGGGGTAGATCTGACTCCCTACTCTCTGCCGCACCAGGGCATTCGGGGGCCACAAATCACACTTATTGTCTCTTTTTCGAAACACAAGCAGTAGATCCCCGTAGAATTTGATAACGATTTGTGATATCGTGTGGAATACGAAGTCTGTGAATGTTATCTAGTTGAAAGCGTGTAACTAGGTTTCCCACTGGTTAACACATATCACCAAATAACAACTTCAACCTTAAGAAATTTCATACTTCTGGAGTATTCTGGAGTGTATCAACCGGCTTCATAGTCTGAGATATTAACACCCAGCCATTATTGCTGCCATTGATTTTTAAAAATTCAACATCTCAACACAGTGCGTACTATTTCGGATCACTTGGAATAGTAGCTTCATTACAAACTGATAGACAAAGTTCAATCAGCACTAAAGGATTAGGCAACCATGACACTACTCATTGATCAATCAATTGTAGAAAACTGTAGATACTGAATTTATTATTGTGGGGGATAGTGAGTTTACACAAGTTAGTATTTCTGAAATAGTATTAGATTGTAATTCCTTATTTTCTGGTTTCCAATTTTTCTTTGGTGAATTTCAGTTCGTGATAAAAATTTCTCTTCAAAGCATTAAAAATCTCCACGAATACACTTTAGTAGACATATATATGTGCTTTGTAGTCTAGACGATTATTGAAAGCCAGAAGGAACTGAATAGCTGTTTTGTCCTAATACCAGGACTCAATAGTGCAAATCTACTACCCTACCGAGGATCGGACCTGAAACTTTCGGGCATCGGAATGATCACTTAACCTTAAGTGGACATCCGATGGTTTACATTTCCTGTTTTAGTCAGCGCATGATACCATACAACCATCTAATGCCACTGATAAGCAACTACCTCACATCAGACAATCAAATTCAATTATCTCCACAACCCCGTTACACTAAACTATATTTACTCTTGGAATATTATTATCATTATATATTTTCGTTAGTAGCTAATCAGTGTATAATCAATGTTTCATGAATCTTTCTTAACTAATCAAGTATATAATTAATTTTTTAAAATTATTCTATCGAGGAATTATTACATGCCAACGAACTACCTACCGAAAAATACTGACATTTATAAATTGGTTCTTTTTTTCTTCTCAGCGATGGGTTAAATTAATTACATCTTTCTAGGGATAGGGTGGTAAAAGGATAAGTCCACACAAATACTTTAATTTCATGTTCGTCGAAACTATTTGAACAAGTTGTTTCCAATTGGATAAAATGTCATTTGAATGTTTGTATATATACAAGTATGGGAACATTTAAAATAGTTAAATAGGGTATATAAAAAGATTAAAAAATAATTGATGAAACAACCGAAATTTATTCATAGTTTAATCGTTAACATACTGGAGTCTACTTGAGTTGTAACTGTGGGTTATGGAAACTAGATTGAAGTAGAAAGTGTGCTACATCAATCAATTATAACAAAATAGACCTGCGCAAAATGTACATCAAATAAAGTTGCAACACATTATCAGAGAAGTACTACTCCCTTGTAGCCCCTTTAAGATTACTGCCACTTCAAAGTCGGATAAAGGAGGTTCGCGCAAAAGGTTAACAATGCCATCTTGTAGCAAAAAACCATTCTAATGAAAATGCAAATTATGGAGACTCATTTAAACGCTTCATTAAGAGTTGAAGGTTATTCATAAAGAAAAATTATGACGCCTCATGATGAAGTAAAAACCAACATTCTTTGAAATTCACGAGGTCAATGTCACTTCTAACAAACAGAGCAACAATTAACACATGTACATGGAGTGTTTGAACAAAGTGGGAGACTGAGAGGACTAGTTAAATATCTACGAAAATGAGGATATATAACCTGGTGATGATCAGAATAAGTGAAACTCATTGAACGCAAGCTGAATACAACAGATTAGATTCGAGAGAGGAGCTGTTACACTCTAGTCATGAAGAAGGTAAAGCTTCCCATACATAAGGCATTGTGGTCACGCTGTTCGAAGAAGTACCAAAAATACATATGGGATGGGAATCTCATGAATCCAGGATCATCAAAGCATCCTTCAATACAACAAAGAAGGAGAGAATCACAATGAATTTTGTTCAGTGACATACACTCTTCAGCGATTTCAACGAACACAACAAACTTGAGTTTCATGAGAAACTGCGGTCAATCAGACAGACATGCTCAGGAAACAACCTAATAATCATGATGGGAAAACTAAACACTAAGGTTGGAATGGACAACACCTTGAATGGAGATAACATGGGCTAAAGAAAATGGTGAGAAATTTGCAAATTTGTGTGCCTTCAACAAAATGGTTATAGATGGGACTATTCTCCCCCTACACACACGTACACAGATCTACATGGATTTCACTTGACCACACTACACAGAACCAGATTGGTTACATTTGAATCAATAAGAAATTAAGTAGGTCCATGGAAGACTTGGACAAAATGATTGGAACTTACATAGCTTCAGATCACCATGTACCTGGTGATTGCTAAGATGAAACTGAAGCTAAAGAAGGTTCAGTATAGCCTTCCTTTGAGGTCTAAACGTATTCAGAGGAAAAGAAATATACCGAAATACAGCACAGTGAGCACTAACATAATCACATTTGATAAAGAAGTTATAGAAGCAGACGAAACTTTCACGTGCCTGATCAGCATCATCGATAAACATAAAGAATCTGATGCAGATGTGAAGACAAATATTGACAGAGAAAGGGATGCACATCTGCAATTGAAAAACATCTGGAAATCGAAACACCTGTCCACCAACATCATAGTCAAGATTTTCAATACGGAAGCCAAAACATTTTGGTCGTATGGAGCTAAAACGCGGACAAAAATTACACTCATTATCGAAAATGTACAGGTATCTATTAACAGTTGCCTAATGTCATAAACAACAAACTACTGTGACAACAAATATATGAGCTTATAGTTGAAGATGAAAATAGGAAAAGAACCTGGAGGCGGATAGGTTATACATTATGGAAATAATCAGACTGTATTACGAAGAAATCCCTAACTTGAAATCTTGAATGTCAGACCAAGGAACACATTGCACGGGAAATCGCAATGTAGGAACCCATATTATCTATATTCGATAACGAGCTATATTCCCATTGTGTGTGTTGAAGTACATGCTCTTCCTGGTAGAAATCTGTTTGTTCAGTAGTTACGAATCCTAAATAATATGATTTTCCAATATTTACACTTCATACTTCAGTGCATTACTTCTAGTCTAGTTATGTAATACCAGATTTAATGTATATGAACTTTTATGCAATGATAATGATTAACATAGACAGAAGACCACTAAGTCGGCATCTAACGGTGTTAATGTCTAACTTCAACCATTACATTGGATTTCAGCCAGGTCTGTTTTGAGATATGAGCTCGCTGAAGACAATTGTGACGGTGGCGCGATTTCGTGGATTGGTTGGAGTTAGATATGAACACCGTTGGGTGCTAACTCAGTGGTCTAATGGTTAAGAGCTCGCGCGCGAGACTGATAGGTCTTAGGTTCGAGTCTTGCGAGGTGCGGGATCGTGGATGCGCACTGCTGAAAAGTCCAGTACTAGGACGAAACGGCTGTCCAGTGCTTCCATGTTTTCCATGGTGGTCTAGCTTCAAGCGTCTCATGATTTCAACTATTGAACTTACTAAAATCTCCACAAAACCCCCTTCTGATAATTGACAAGAGTTAAACAACAGACATTCATTAAGGAAAAAACCCTCCAGCTTCTGATAAGTAGACTAACATTTTCTTTTCTTTTTTCTTTGAACTGTTGACTAACTTTCTAATCAAATCTCAATCTGATCTTTTCCAACTGTTTTATTTTAATAATTAATAATGCTTGTTATGCAACCGGTTGCTTTCATTCATGCGAGTCAAACTGAATTCAATAAACTTAATTGAAATAACCATGATCTAACAATTGTATAAATACTATTAAACTAGATAAAAATAGGCATCAATCTAAATTCATTACTAAGACAAGATAGAAATACGTGCAAAACATGGAGAAAAAAATTAACTAATATGTTACTTAATCCGTTTTTCTTCTGTTCAACAAGTTTTAGCATTATTTTTCACTGATTGAAATCATGCGTCAATTGAAGCTAGACCACCATGAAAATCCTGGGACCACTAGACGGCCGTTTCGTCCTAGTATGGGACTCTTCAGCAATGCGCACCCACGATTCCGCACCCCACGGGATTCGAACCCAGGGCCTACCAATCTCGTGCCAGGCGCTTAACCAACTAGACCACTGAGCTTGCATCCAGCGGTGTTAATCTCTAAATTCAACCAATCCAAAAAGTTGCGCCACCATACGCCATTGTCTACGGTGAGTTGATTTCTCAAAACAGACCTGGGTGAACTCCATTGGTAATGGCTTCTCACTAGAACTCCACGAGTATCTCTTGAAGTCAGTCGCTAGTGAGCAAATGATTGATGTCAGAAGAGGTTTTGTGGAGATTTTAGAAATTTCACTGGTTGAAATCATGAGTCAATTATTTTTCACCATGTTGTAATTTTTCATTCATTCATGCTTAAACGAAGAGTACTATATCATATTCAATCACGAAATAAGTTAACTTCTATTTTTAATTCATTGACTTTCAATCGGTCGAACTTCTGTTTATTCTATAATTCAATTCATGACAATCGGAGACTATCTTCACTTCATACAATAAGTCAGTCAGAAAACAACGTAGAACTTTGTAAATACGTACATCAGTTCGACTTGCCATACCATATTAGCACACAGAAACAATTGTCAATTCAAATCCCGTAGTGGTAGACGTAGTAAGAGTATAAGCAGAAATCGGAAAGATTAGGGTTTGAAGATGTTATTCAATAAGTATAATCCAGTGAAATAAATATAGAAAGAGAAAAAAAAGGAGGGACATGAAGAATTCAGAAGACTAGAATTTGGGAGAATACAAATTGTTGATGCACCTGCGCCATTGCAAACGATTTTGAGCCATGTCATTCAACGTCTCCAACCATCGATTACTATCATCTTGCTGATCCCAACCACCTAGTCTACACTTAACAACATGGCTCACACAGTCCACTTGTCAGTGACTTCATGGATTTGTGTCATGTTTTGGTCTGGCCACCTCTAGATTTTATCCAACCTAATCTTACACCATCAAACATTGCACGCCGAGGCAGTTGGGGGTTGGTCATACGTAACACATGTCCCAGCAATCTCAACTGATGAAGTTCCATTACTTCATCAATTGATTTGCCATCTTTATCTAGTACCCGTTTCCTAACAACTGCATTACTTACTCAGTGTTGGTAGTATATATAAGTAATGCTTCGAAGACATCTATGATCAAATACTAGTGACGTAAGAATATCCTCTACTATTACTGGATATTCTTAGTTTACTAGTATTTGATACAATAAGTATAGCTCAAAGGTTAAATATTCTTTATTTGTTTTCTTCTTGAATTTAATTGTATTTAAATCCTTATAATATAAGAGTAAATATATTTCTTTGAAAAAGCTTGAACCAAATTGCCAGGTGAAACGTTGGATTTACTTCAAATTCTTTCGCTGAGATTTTACAAATACCATATTCTTCCTCTTTAAGAGTAAATACTGTTTAAGGATTTAAGTCTATATCTATACATGTACACTCATTTTTACTATTAATATAATTGAAATGAACATTTCTTTCTTTCAATTTCATCATTTGAATATCTACTTATGTTTACTTGGTAACATAATATGGTTTATTGATTTTATACATAAACAAATCGTACATATCACTTAAAAACAAACATCTCAAAATGCTTTGCTCTTTTTCTGTATTACTTGAAACACTTATCTTATATATCTGTTTGCTGATTGTTACACACACACACACGCATTATTTATTTTAACACATAGATATTGATATGTGTGAAGGCTGTGATACTGCTTGGGTGCCCAAACCGAAACAGGTGGTTTTCTTAGGGGACCACACCCGGAGCCTTCGACCTAAAGGTCTGATCCACAAGGCAGTGGAGCATCGTAAGGAGATGCAGTCCCATGGTTGCCGGTGACCCACAACTGGTTCATACGCTATTTGTTTCCTCAGGTTCCTAGAGTCCATGTACACCGTTGGTTTGGAATCAGGGTTTTCCACCTCCACTAGGTGGATCTTCCATATCCACCGACCTGGTGAAAGCGCCGGACATTCGCTTTTCATCCTTTCAATTTCGTAAACAACAGTCATGTCGCGAGAAAACAAAGGATAGGACTTCCCTGGCAGAAGCTATATACACGTAGCCATGTGAAAGCATTTTGAGAGGAAGAGCGGACTCTCCCCACTCTCGTCCGTACCAAGACATTTGGGGGCGTGATGGATAAGATCAAGCCCGATTGGTAATTATTGAAAGTACACAATAAATTGCTCTAGACTTTTTTTTTAAAAAGTGACTACTATTTAATAAATCTGATTAATGATAATCTTAAACGCTCTGTGATTAGTATATTTATTAGTTAGAATACTTTATACACTTGATTATAAATGATAAACTAGTTGTTAAATGATTAGAATATCTATTTGTAGGTTGGTTTAAACCATACTCAGTCTACTTCGTTATGGGTAGTAATAGTATATTCCAGAAGTATCCCTAGCCTTCATACATAATACTTACGCCTGTTACAATGGAGCATAGGTCGCCAAATAGGGAGGTTGATTATGAATGCAGTGGTCTTGAGTGTTGTTAGAGGTATGAGGGCGGTTATCACTTTCGGGTTGCCCACACCGTGGAAGGGTTCTTCTAGAGTACCCGAGAAGAAAATTGGATTAGAGGTGGTGTTAGTGACCTGAGAGCGTGACCGCAGTGCCCAAGGGACAACTGCCTGAGGTCGGTCACACACGACCTTTTTATGGGCAATTTTTGTGTTAGCTCCGTACTTGTTGAGACCTTATCGCCGGAAACGGATATCCGTGGGATAAGGCGAGGTGTGCATTTTCAGGGTCGACCTTTTCTAACCCCACCCCTCCTTGTGGGAAGGCAGCATCACTTTTATGCTGGTTTTCTGAAGGATACACCTTACTGCTGTCACACTTCTGTACAGTCAGCAGTACAACTTCGCCTTCGGACCTTGAGTTTGTTGCTTTTAGTCTTACCGCTCTTCAATCGACTTGTTCGACATGGTAGGACCTTGAGGAACGGTTGTTCCAGCCAGTATAGCTCGGTTGCTTCATCACGATAGGCAAGGCCGACCATCACGTCTAGGTAGCAATAACGGTCGTGTAGACCGCCGACCAGCATTAAATGAGTTACAATACATATTGTACACTATTGTTGTAATAATAATCATTATATCTGTTACATTATGCAATATTCTAGTTTGTTTTTATAATTGTTGTTATATATACATATATATATCTTTTCACTTACACTAATAAAGCTGCTTTATCAGTTGACTATGGAGATATTTCTAAACGTAAAAAACTTCGTCAACAATTAAATTGTAAAAGTTTTCGTTGGTATTTAGAGAAAATTTATCCTGAATCATCTATTCCAATTGATGTGATAAGATTAGGTGAAGTAAGTGTTTCGTTTTTACATAATGCATAATGATAATCTTGCTATTACATCATCATGTTGATGATGGGTTTTGTCAAATTGTTTGCTTGTTTATCTAAAGGATAGATGTACATATATATACACCAATGAGTTGTGTACCTTTTCATTCGGTTTGTCAATTACAAATTCTTAGTATTCTTATTGACGTATCAATTTAGGGTCGCGTACATACATATCAATATCTAAATCAGTTTGACAGAACAACGTAACAGTTTCCCTAAATAACAAATGAACTATCGACTTCAGATTCGATTTTCGCTTTCCAATTTCATTTCAACAACCAGTTATACTCATAACGACTTTGTTTTAATTCAAATAACAGGATGAAACATCGAATATATATTTACATTTATTTGTTCCGTCGAATATTCGAAGAAATATTCACCGTTTTTTCTCAAAGTATGTTTCGTACTTTTTCAATTTCCCAGTATTCTCAATCTGTTCCTCCTATCATAAGTGTATTATTGTTTTTTTCAGATTCACATCTTATTCACTTAGTCATTGAATTCATAAGTTTATCATTATGTATCCGTTTTCTAAAATGCTAGAATTCGGCACAGAATCAGTTCAAATCCTTATGGTTGTGAATGAAGAATAAGCAACGACGTGTGTCCCTATCCTTCCGAGTTCTTACGGAGCCGTTTAGCTGAACAGCACATAGACGACTGTTAACGGGGATCCATTCTAATAGTGCTTGTTCTACCCTCGTACGTAGTGCTATGCCTACACCCACCAGTTCACAAGAACTAACCATCGGGTCTCCAGATACACGGATGGTTGTATGTTCTTGGCTCTCCATTTTGGCGAAATAAGCTTAAGTGAGTGATGACGACACTAGGATCCTGTATACGTGTTTCGGAGACATAGCATACATCAATGGTACGAGATTCTAGGGTTTTAACCAAGGAGGTCTGCTGGCCGATTGGACACAGGGTGTGTATGTTGAAGACTCTAATATGTCGTTTGAAGCGAGGTTTCAGTAGACCTGCAACAGTGTTTCGCACACTAGATGTTATGAATTTGTTTTTTTTTTTGGTGTTATTCTGTTAATGACTTGGACTGAATACAAATATCAGTTCTATGTGATTTTTTCTCTAATTATTAGCCTTATATACAAATATCCATGTGAAGTAGTAGTAGTGTTTCTTTTTATTGGGTTATTTTCATTTCTCTTATTGATCAATTCCCATATTTGGAAAAAGAAAAGAAAAAACAACATTCATTGCAAGATCGAATTAGTGATTGAACATTAGTCACAATTTTATGTCTTTTTGTTTATTTCTATATCAAGTTTAATCGAAAATGGTAACATTCAAATTAATTGGCTACGCCTAGAATCCATGCTACTCTTATTCATAATCATAATAATTACTATTGCCTATTATTCTGTTGTCATCAGGGTTTCGCTTCTCTTCTTTTTCTTCTTCTTCGTCAACTGATCAATCGTTAAGACACAAACCTGTTCTAATGTTAAAGAAAAACATTGTTTGGTTTTTGTTTTTGTTATTGTTTACCATTTCATAGTTTATGGAAATATGTCCTTTTCAATACTCGTTCAAATGTCATTTTGTTTATTTATTAAACGGAATACACCTATTAAGACATTAAATAAGAAAGATTAATTCAGTGAAGAGTTGTCTTTTCAGTAAATTCCAACTTTTATCCTCATTCACATGAAATGAATCACTTTTCAGTAATATAGAAATATGTAGACAAAAGTCTAGGACATGAAAAGATTTCAAGTTTTGAGTGGCTTAGATTTTGTTATGGTTAATGGATCAATGGTTTTGTTTCTCCTATTCTCTGTCAATTTATAGCAGTGAAACATGACCGGTAAGAGTAGAGAATAATCTTAGTTTACTAGTATTTGATTATAGGTGTCTTCGAAGTATTACTGATGTATCCTACCACCACCGAGTAAGTAACACAGCTGTTAGGAAACGGTGACTAGATAAGGATGGCAAATCAATTGATAAAGTAATGGAACTTCATCAGTTGAGATTGCTGGGACATGTGTTACGTATGACCAACCCCCAACTGCCTCGGCGTGCAATGTTTGATGGTGTAAGATTAGGTTGGATAAAATCTAGAGGTGGCCAGACCAAAACATGACACAAATCCATGAAGTCACTGACAAGTGGACTGTGTGAGCCATGTTGATAAGTGTAGACTAGGTGGTTGTGGTCAGCAAGATGATAGCAACCGATGGTTGGAGACGTTGAATGACATAGCTCAACATTGTTTGCAACGTGCTAGTGTTCAGTTAATCTGCGAACGAGAAACAAGACTCAGTGACCAAAGACCAGTAAGCTATCTATTTATGCGTCCCAGCCCCGCTAACTAAAGGGAGAAGTCCAAGCTTGGAATGGGGAAGTATATTCTGCAAACAGCCAGAAACGAGCGATAACAACAAACACAATTCAAAACGTATATATGCAGTACAAAACCGTCCTTGGTGAGAGTTACCAAATAACACACTAAAGGACGCAACGGACCAATAGCATTTAAGGTGTTTTTCAGTGGGAAATACGACATGAAGGTGACAAGAGCGTCTTTGGCGCGAAACCAAAGAAGTTCAAATTTTCTAAATAAAATTACAAAATTACATCCTTCTCCAAGTGAGCTCTGGGAATGTAACGTCCTCAACACTGCGGAGCAGGTGCATCTACTCTTTGTGTTCTCCCAAATTCTAATCTTCTGAATTCTTCATATCCCTTTTTTTCTCTTTGCAAATTTATTTCACTGTATTATGCTCATTGAATATCACCTTCGAACCCTAATCTTTCCGATCATTACTTATACTCTTACTACCTCTACCACTATGGATTTTCAATCGGCAATTGTATCACTGTGCTAATATGGTATGGCAAGTCGAACTGATTTACGTATGTACGAAGTTCTACGTTGTTTTCCGACTGGCTGGCTGACTTCTATTAATTGTTTATACCTTCTGGTATATCACTGATTTTACCATTCATTTCTTTTATTGATTACGTTAATATACTCTTTAAGTCTGTCACAGATTAATTAATTCGGCAAAACGAGTTTATTTCCGAAATGAATCTTAAAACAATGTATATGTATTTTATACAGTGATATGTGATTTATAGAAGAGGAAAATTATTAAATGATGAAAATGTATGATCAAACTCTAACAGAATTAGGATTATGTCATAGAAAGTAATTCAATAAACTGTTTTTGTACACACAAATCTAATATTGAAACTGTCGGTGGACCAAATTTCTGCAATATAATATAGTTTTAAGTGTAGGCCCCACTTACCGTTTGACTGGATCTTCTAAATTATCTCAAAAGGAAGGACTTAAGGCTAGATGTCCAGAATCTACTACACGATGGAGAATGGAGAACTGAATTTATATAAGTTATCCGTTGTCAAATCATATAGGGGAAACCCTATTGAATGTTGTGAAGAAAATGATATCAACATATGACCTACATTTCTTGCTTCACTAAAGTATATATACATTGAATTAGTCTGTCATGGTTACTTATCTTTTGTGCATAAGTATTTTGGTATGTTGGAAGATCCTGTTTAGTTAATTTTTATGTCGATCACAAATCATCATAATAATACTCTAATAATCATATAAATCTTTCGTAAATTCAAATTATTTTATTGAAAAAAGCATAGACATTCTTGCTACACATTCTATTACTTATTTATGCCTGTTACTCCCAACGGAGCCCCTTAGGGTTTATTACCGGTCACAAGCCCTCATGAAGGAGGAGGGTTTGCCATCGGGTGGTTAACGATCCCATCCCATAGAAAACTAACACGCTAACCATAAAAAGCGATACATTCTAGTGTCATGTAATTAATCTAAACTATTTATTTTTATGAACCTCTTCTGAATTTTAAGATTATAATCTTCTGTTATTGGGTCAACACATATACACTTAGAACATTTGAATCTCATTCACTATACTTCATTGACTATGTATTATGTTCTAAGTATCTCATAAATTCCCATGACAGGTTTGGATAGAGAATGCTATATTCAGTATGGTATAGCGGCCTATGCTCCCTCATGAGGTGTAATAGGCGTAAGTAAAGTAAAAATCTTATAAATTATATTCTTACTACTAATACAGATCAGACAAATAGTAAGAAAGAAGAAAGTGATTATAACTGAGAACAATAAAACATTGGCAATATTTTCCTATTGGATACATAAATTTCTTTATTTCACTAATTATTCTCTATTATTTGATTACCACGACGTGCAATACTAACCGGTGTTGGAGATGAATGATAAAAAGTTAGGAGCGGCCAAACTGAAACGTGGCATCAGTGCTTGAAGTCACTAACTTCTTGTCAGAGTCATGTTGGTAGATGCAGACTACTTGGTTGGGATCTGCGTGACTATCGTAACCAATGCTTGGAGACTCTGTGTGACATGGCTCAGAATCGATCACAATGATGTAGGTGCATGCACTCTCTGTCTTCCCTTAAACTATGAGATTAAAATCACTTCATATCTTTCTTTCTACGAACTAATTCTTTCTTCTTGTACTATATCTCTATATGCAATCTTTCTTTTATATATTACCACCATTGACTTAACTGCTCCTATTAATCCGGTGTTCATCTTGCTGTGCTAATGAAGTATGGCAACTTGGACCGATGTATATATGTGCTTAGTCCTACGTTGTAACTGACTGATTCTCTATTATTATATGGATCATTTGAACAGATTCTTTGATATACTATCAGATAAATTGATAAACTTGACTATATTGATAACGATTATTTATATTTAACAGTTTTCTTTATTTGATAATAAGTTGGGATCTGAAGTAATAGTTGTACATTTGGTTGATAAGTCCCTAATGGGATAAAATACACGTCCTATCCAATCATTTGATATGAATAATAACTTTAATAAAACAATATCAATTCAATAACTTTTCAATGGATTCTCTTGAGCATTTTACAACTTATAGAACATCCTTTATCATCAATTATATAAAAATAATGAATGTATACATATTTTCAATACAATTATAATATTAATTGAGATTGAAACATAACATAAAGGTGGATTAAACCAAGTTAGTAAATATCAAATTTCAATAGTTGAGATCATAAGTCAATTAAACCTAGACCACCATGAAAAACCTGAAAGCACTGGACGGCCATTTCGTCCTATTGTGGGACTACTCAACAGTGTGTATCCACGATCCCATCTCGTGAGATTCAAACCTAGGACCTATCGGTCTCATGCGTGAACGTTTAACCTATAGACCACTAAGTTAGCATTCAATGGTGTTCATGTCTAACTTCAATTAATCCACGAACATAAGCGACACATCCACATGAAGTCGTTTGTAATATTTTCAGATAGGATTTTTCTCAGTAGAATAATATAAAATCGAATGTTGCTCTACTTGTAACACTGTCGAAAGAATTAATTTTAAAGTTAAAACTATACAAAAAAGGAGTAACCATAGTACGCACATGTTTGATACTAAAAAAAATGCCTATTAAAGTAATCAAAATAGACCTCTGTATTATCTTCCATTATTTATTAATTCATATGTATATCACAAGAAATATGTTAGAAAATAAGAAGGAATGGATTTTGTCCCCATACCCAGACACATCCCACTGAGTTAGATTAAAAAAAAACTCAAAAGTATGCAACGTACTTAATAAAGAATATAGCGTTCGCATTTTAATATCACTTAAATGAAATCATATCAACAAACCATTACGAACTCATTATTTTCAAATCGTATAAACCCGACTTATGGCTTCAAAACAGCAATGTTCTTCATCATACCACTATTGTGATAATTAGAATAATATTTGTATTTTATTGTTTCTATTCTATTAATTTTATGATTTAATTCAATCCTACACATATTATATATCTATTAGGTTCGTCATAAATCTGGTCAATGCCTTGATTCTCTTGGTCATAAACTTGGTGAAACTGTCGGTGTTACACATTGTCATGGACAAGGTGGTAATCAAGTATTTGCAATAACTGAAAGTGGTACAATTCGTGTTCATGCAGGATGTATAGATGGTGGAGATAGTCGAAGTATTGGAACTGGAATATTAACTTTTAAAAAATGTAAAAAGGATAATATCAGTCAAAAATTTGAATTTATCGGAAATGTAAGTTGTTGCCATGATTGTTTTTTTTTGTAATGATAATAGGATTCTGTTAGTAAATTTATTATGTAGTAGTGAATAATAATAAATAATGCCAAATTCTATGATGAAGACATTTTAGCACTTTATTGTTAACCGCGGGGTGGCTACTCTAATTTCTACCGACTGATCAACTTCAGATATCCTAGTAAAACCCCAATACTGTTCCCCAATCTCCAATATATCAGAACACGAACCGTAGATGAAAATTGTTTATGAGGTAAGAATAATAATAATAATAATTTACAGACAAATGCATATTTATACAGTTAGAACTACCGTGAATATTGAACAATAGGGAAACGACACGTCAAATAAATATTGACCAATAGGGAAGTGACACCATTTCACGTTCAAGGATAGCATTAGACTTAACAGGATAATTTTTTGGGGATATTTTTCTGAATATCCCAACACATTTTTGTAATTCCTTTACATAAATTACTATTTGATTTTACTCATGAATTGACTACTAAATAATGTAGATACTAATCATTCTTATGAATGATTGGACTACTTATTGAGTAAATTGTGGAACTAATAAATTTTACTTACCTATTTATTTACGCCTGTTACTCCCAATGGAGCTAGGCCACCGACCAGCATTCTTTAACTCACTCTGTCCTGGGCGGCCATCCGTTTTAGTTCTATCCAGTTGTTGTTCATTTTTCTCATGTCTGTATCCTTATCTTGACGCAATGTTTTCTTTGGTCTTCCTCTTCTCTTCATTTGACCTTGAGGATTTCATGTGAGGGCTTAGCTTGTGACGTAGTTCGGTGCTTTCTTCAATATGTGTCCTATCCACTTTCGGCACTTCTTCCTCCGCTGGGATCTGATTTGTTCTCTCTCATAGTAGGTTTTTGCTTATAGTGTCCGGCCAACGGATCTGAAGTATTTTGCGTAGACAACTGTTAATAAACACACGTATTTTCTGGATGATTGCTTTCGTATTTCTCCAATCTACTCATCTAATAAAGATGTCTAATTAATTCGATTGATTTTAACTTTTGACATTCTATCATTACATTATTCATTTTAATAGTCAAGACGTTATTTGATAATATAAATTGTTTTCGTTTGTTGTTGTTGTTGTTGTTGTTTTCATTTCAGCTTACTTTGAATAAAAAACTTGTTTATATAGATATATTTCTTTATTGAATAGAAACTTCAAAACTTTCTAAAAATAAATTATCAGTTGATATATTTTATTTATGTTTTTATATGCACAAATGTATGGTACCGATATTTATTAATTGTTGCTCTGATTGTTAAAAGAGGGGCATCAACCTTGTGACTTCAGAAGAATCCGGCCTTTCATCATGAGGCGTCATAATTCTTCTAAATGAAGATCCTTCAACGCCTTGTGCAGAGTTTTTATGGTTTATTCTTATTAGCGTTGCTGGCTCCCATGCCTAACCTTCTTTCAGTAAAACAATTTCTATCTTTTTACTAATGTTCTTTAAAAATTAAGCTAAAGTGAAACTACAATTTATTTCACTTATTTTCATCATTAATATCTATTACGTCATATCACATTACAGTTTAATATGAATACGATTATAAAAGTAAAATTCACTTGGTATTGTTTGTTTGAATCTTCCCATTGATGTTTAGGACTGCAATTGATCAGTCTCTTATTGGCGTATGTGCATCCTGTGAGGACTTCCTCGATATTACCCTAGGTTAGAAGCATTATATGCATAGGTGGATAGTGGCTTGCAGTGCAATCCAGTTTGACGCGCGTTTCGTCCTATTTCGAACTCGTCATCTGGATATACCTGCATCTCAGAGTTGATGTTCACTCTCGGACTCGAACTCAATACCGTTTGCTCCAAGTACCATCGTATTATCCACTTAGCTTCTAAGTCCTGATAACCACTTGTTTGTGTAATAAGTTGAAGTTTAAGCTTACTTGATATTTTTTATTTGAATCTTCTCATTGATCAATTACAGTCCTAAACATCCATCTTTGATTATAAAAATCCCGACCGTAGCTGCTACCTTGACGCGGTGGTCATACTTGCCTATCGTGATGACCCAATCGAGCTATATTGGCTGGAACATATGTTCCTGTAGGTTCTACCATGCCAGGCAGGTCGATTGGAGAACGGTAAGACCAAAAGCAGCAACTCAATGTCTGAGGGCGAAGTCGTACTGTTGACTACTGTAGAGAGGTGTGACAGCAGTAAGGTGTTTCCCTCGGACAACCAGCATCTGCAGCGATGCTGCCTTCTCACAAGGAAGTAAAGGGTTAGAAAAGGTCGACCCTAAAAATGTCACACCTCACCTTACCTCACGGATTTCCGTCTGTGACGGTAAGACCCTTTGAAGAACGGAGCTAATACATCAAAAACCTCTCACAAAAAGACCGTGCGCGACCGGCCTCAACAGTTGGATAAAAACTACAAAAAAAGACATAATCATAAATTAATATTATTTTTACTTTAGCTTGTTGTATTTAGCTAAGTTAACATTGGAATAGTTGTATTTAATGTACAGTAATTATTGAATTTTTAATCTCCTTGACCTCTTTTGTTTGTTTTATTATTTACATTGATTGTTTTGTTTTTTTATTTTTATATTTTAAGCAAATAATTCATAAAGCAACAAAATTGTGCCTTTTAATTATATCAATTGGTAAAGGTGTACGACTTTCATTAAGTAAGTAGTTCCTTCTTTATCTCTCTCTCTCTCTCTCTCTGTACAATTTTATTAAAAGATTAGTTTCTAATATTGTGTAAGTTTATTTGTTTAATGTGATGATTTAAAAATTTATTATTATTTAGATAGTAATATACATAATAATGAGATAAAAGACTCATAAATGTATTCAACTTCAAAGATAGTTTCAATAATGCAATGTGAGAAGAAGAAGAAGAAGATTATCGCAATTATGTGATATATGATTCGTGTAATACATTTTGAACAATCTGATCACACATAATATACTTGTTAAGACATTTTTATATGACAATTAAAAGGTCAAGTAGACAGATTAAAGCTAAACCGTAACAAAGAAAAGGAGTTCCATCATATGGCGAAACGGCCATCCAGTGCTTTTAAGTTTTCCATGATGGTTTAGCTTTAATCGACTCATGAATTCAACTATTGAATTATTACAATCTTCACAAAGCCCCCTTTCTAATAAAAAATAAAGTACTCAAAAACGATATGATAACCACTCTGGATAATAAATCAGTATCACCAGGGTAGATTAAGTGTAAGAACAAATTGTTTTTGAACACATAAAGAAGGCTTCAGTTTCCGTATAGCCAAGGCCTCAATAAACCTTAGTATACACCCTTGAAGGCTTTTGTACAACACTACAAATACTGACTTGATGTCGATCTTATGATCAGTTTTAAATAAATGTCTCTCAATGGAGGAAGATGTCTGTCAATTCTGTGATTTTATTTGACCATTGGAATTCATTTGTTTCTGCAGTTATTTGAGTATATGTTTCGTCCCCCTTACTTACAAATCACGATTGCTCCTCTCTATGTACTTGTTGATAGACACAATGGGATATGATATATTCGCTTATGTGCTGTTTGGGTTTTTGGTGAAACATAAACTTTGTCTTTTCAATAATAACAAGTAGGGCTGCATAAAATTTCTTGTTGATGGCTAATTTAAGTCTCCGTTTCAACATGAGACTATTTGAATCTCCTCTAAGTGGTAACATAATGTAAATTCATTTTTTTGGGGTGCCGGAAGCGTAATAAGTCTAACTGTATTGCAACCCTTCTAGCAGTTTATAAACTTCAATGAATAATCATTATTCATTAATGTTTCAGTTAAGAGCTTCATTTCTATTTCAATAGTATCGCTAGTATAAATATGATTGATTGTATCCATCACATTTGTCAGTGATTTGATAAATTAATACCACTCTCTAATCTAATCATTTTACTCTTATGCTTATAAACATTAATGTCTCAAAAATTTATATACCGGTGGATATCACGACATACTTTCAATATAAAAGAGAAGGTTAGCATACTATACAGAGTACGTTTAATGGAAACTATGTACAAATATGTAAATTTTTCATGATAAACAAGGCTATCATTATCGCATATTATCTCTCCTTAAGAACTTTAATGAAGCAACAATTGTTCTACATGATAACCGCAATTAGTGAATAGAGGCATTGAATTACATGGTTCAGAACCGATCACAGTGTAAAGAGTAATAATCACTTATTCCTACTTTAAATTTCGAGTTTCAGTATACCTTCATATATCAAATTTACTAATACTGCGTAAGGTTGGCATGGAGTAAGATCAAAATGTTTATGTCTTCTCAATATATCCCTATTATTAATCTATCTATAATTGGAATGATATATCCACTGGATTCGGTAGATACGGAGAGCCCATCTAGGGGAAATGGAAAACCCTGATTCCAAACCAAAAGTGCACATAGGCTCCAGTACCTAAGACAACAAATGGTGTATGAACCAATCATTGGTCACTAACTATCATGGAACTGCATCTTCTTACATTGCTCTACAACCTTGTGCATCAAACCATTAGGTCAAAGCCTCTGAGTGTGGCCCCCTAAGAAAATCATTTGTTTCGATCTGGGAACCCGAGCACTATTCAAGACCTTATAAAAATCGAATGATCTATGTGGCACATATATATTCGGTGCCTTCTTGTATCAATGTTTATATGTTTAAATAAATAAATCCACTAGATAATTTCACATGTTTACTTGTCCATTTATTATATTTTAGGAGTGTGCACTGATACAAATGATTCCTATTGGACTCTTCCTCCATTATTCAATGATACATCAGTTTTATTGTAAAAAGAATAATGTTTTCTACGCCCATTTATCTTTTCAGATGTGGTATATATATAGTATTGCTTTAATTCTTTTATGTATACTTTCCACCCAATATCTTCTTCCAAAATGATGTTACATCAATTTAATGAACATTTCTTCAATGAAAAGCCAAGTTTCTTCTGTTGTTCAATTTATTTTTTAATCAACATTAGATTTGAGATAATTGATTGTTTTATCTAACATACATATAATATGTGTATGTGGTCTTAGCAGGTAATTTTTGTCAATTTCATATGTATATTACTTATAAGTAATGATGAATTTCATCAAATTATTTTGTTGCTTTAAAATCTATTATTTTTTCTTTAAAAAGAAAAAAAAACTTATTTCTATTGACTTGAAAACTTTCTATGTTTGTTTATAAAATCGATATTGATACAAAAGCCATGTAAATTACAACACCAACAAGTCAACTAGAAATATTTAGTTAAGTGTTTATTTTTATTCTTCCAACTATCAATCTACCTATCGGAGTGTTTAAATGGTGGTTGGCAATAATCACTACTTTTGTATAAAATAAATTAAGTATGATCAGATCGGCTTCTTTTTACAAATGTAACCTTTAATACAACTGTGTAACTGCGCAGATGGAGTCCAACCAAGTCATTCAATTTTTTAAATGTCTACATTCAATTCTCGGCGCAGTTTTTTTTATTTGAGCTGTTTTTTTCGCCTACCGTGTGAACTCGAAATTAATACTTGCTATTTGATTCAGTTTGGTGATTTCCGCAATATGTTTGTTCTACCCGCCTACGATGTCTTTTACTATTTTCATCTTCAGCTAGAGGCTGACTTGTTCTCTGCCACGGTAGGTTGTTGCTTATGGTATCCGGCTAACCAATATTTAGTATATTGCATAGACAACTGTTTATAAGTACCTGTACATTTTTGATGATGTTGTCCGCCTTTTACCTCCATACAATGGAAATATCTTGGCGTCAATATTGAAAGTCCTGACTATGATGTTGGTGGACAGGTGTTTCAATTTCCAGATAGTTTTCAATTGTAGATATGCATTCCTTTCTCTGTCAATACTTGCCTCCACATCTGTATCAAATCGTCTTTGTTCTCTTCCTCTGAATATGTTGAGGTCTGTAGCTGTCAAACAGATTGTCTTAATTTAGATTTCACAAATAACCTATCTCATAGACAGCGACGAAATATTTAGCTGTATCCGGGTTATCGAATGTATTGGTTGTTTAATCTGAGGTGTGGGGGACTTCATAATATAGTTAAGGGAGTTTGCAGGTGCTATTTTGATGTCCGATAGGTTCAACGGAACTGGTCAATTCAAGAGCACTTCGAAGCGTTCCACTTACCTTTATATGTGACTTCAATGTTTCAGCTGGTATGTTAGTACCTGTTCCCTATCTGCTCTTCACTCGTCTGATGACCAACCCGACTCCCTCGATCACTGGTGGAGTTGTAGAACTATGATCTACTATGATATTAGTGCTGCTCTAATAATAGACCTAATCCTAAATTTGTCATGATATAACTGCCTAATCTATAAGATCGTACGTGGAAGTCACACCATCGACTACACCAACTCACTGTATCGTATCAACTACCATTACATGATGTAGAACAAGGTTAGGCTAGAGAAAGAACAATATATTTAGTATGAATAGAAGATATAAGGTAACATTTAACAGGGACCACGCCTGCATGGCCGAGCCATGCCATTCGACCAACTCTAATTCATTCAGTTCATTATTCGCCTTCTCCATTGTTAGGTATTTTTTCGCGTTAAATATTGAGTATCTATTTTCCGAGTAATCTCGTATTCAGCTTTGAGGATTGTGTTGTTATAGTCCAATGCCACTACACTACTCTCCCACCAGAATCAACGTGGTGTTGGTTCGATACCAAATTGGATGGGACTGTAGTGTGCCGAAGGTTACCAAGACTAGGAAGAATCCCTCGGGTAAGCTGAAAGATAAATCAAAAAGGAAAGGCGGCAGCATCTGTTCGGGAAATACATGTAATGAATTTAAAATATCTGCCTTCATACTTAACACGCTTAAAATAAAAATTTGGGTGAAGAATATTTGAGCTATAAAAATGGAATTACAATAATAATAATAAAGTGATGCGTGTTAATAGCCGTTGGTTAATAACTTGACGTATAGGTAGTAAGTATTTTGTGTTTAGAAATATTAAAATCAATTAATATTGTAGAAATGCCATTCGACCAACTCTAATTCATTCAGTTCATTATTCGCCTTCTCCATCGTTAGGTATTTCTTCGCGTTAAATATTGAGTATCTATTTTCCGAGTAATCTCGTATTCAGCTTTGAGGATTGTGTGGTAATAGTCCAATGCCACTACAGAGTGACAGCTTTAGGATGGTTTGTGTATGCTGTTCCAATATCCGGTCGGTTCAGTGGGGCTAGTCTCTTCGAGAGTTCCTCAAAGTGTCCTGCCCATCTGTTCCTGTTCCTGGATTTCAGTGATTGTATTGTCTTTGTTCCTGATTGGTTTACCATATTTCCCTGCTAGATTTTTCGTTGTATCATATCATATTTCCTTCTCTTCTAACTTCTTGCAAGTATCATTGATAGGTCTCCTATATATTTTCACTTATCAGCCGTAATGTATGGCATCATTCGTTTGTTCGCTCCTGTGTATTCTGCATGTGCCTTGGCTTTCGCAGTTCATATTCGAATGCTTCTGAGTGCTATCTTCCAGTTCTTTGTTTCTTGAATCTTGACCAGTGTCCCGATAATGATCCATACTATAAGGCTGTGTTTTTATCGCTCAGGACCCTCTGGCGCGTTGAGGTAAATGCTTCTTTGATCCCTATCCACTTATTGTCCACAGCAGTTTTTTCATCCTTGAGTAGGTCTTGTGGGGCTCGGAAGCTGTTGTTGACAGCTATCTTGCATTCCTCAAGTATGTCAGTATCTCGAAAGGAGGCCTGTATTGAAAATTTGGAATGCTGTCTCCTTAGTTGTTCAGTGCTTCTTTAGCTTCCCGCTCATTCTGGCAACCACCAGGTAGATGAATGTCTGGAAGTGTAAGTTTCAATCGTAATGATCACGTCTTCCATGAACCCCCTTAATTTCTTACACATGCAAATGTGACCGATTTGTTTCTGTGTTATTTGGTCCAATGAAACCCATGTAGGTTTGTGTGTGCTATCGTGGGGTGAGTATAGTGCCATCTGTAACCATTTTGTTGAAGGCATATATATTATGGATATAGATGATTACAGTTTGAATGTATTTTTAAGCGAAACTGTCGCGGCATTACATATGTGGTGGTGGCCTGATTGAATATCTGGGCTACCTCTTTCCGCAATCTAATTATTTCAACAAGTTATCTGTTTTTTAATTTGTTTTAACTTTTCATTGTGTTAATTTATATCATAAACTATACAGGCGCTTTTATGAAAAGTGTTTGACCTTTCGCTATGCAAGTTACAAAAAAGCACTAAAAAAGGCATCGTGGTGCTTGGCATTATTCGCATGTCAATTCTCGAGCTGCTAAGTTTTAACTGACGATCACTTATCAACAAAGTTAACTATCCGCAATTCCTACTAAGTCAATATGTGTATCATAATTGTGGTGTCATCACAATTCAAAAATCTTGGTTAAATGATTTACAGGACGACTGTCTAGTATCACTATGTGGTTTCAATATTTAACTTAGTTTTCTTACGTCACTAGATCACCAAAATATAGTAGATTTTCCTACCCCTTTGGATGTTCATTTACAAGAGGCTTCGTTTTCATTAATGATGAGGGTATATATGTGACTCGTAAACGTGCCCCACTGTCTAGCTCGGATCACTGTATAATTCGTGTTCTACTTATAAAAAGCATGGAAATAGTACACTATTACATCAGATCAAGAAAGTCAAATATAGGATCTACTCAGAAGAAAATATCCGAAATCTGAAAAACATGTTTCATACGACTAACTGGGAAGTATTTACAGATGACTCACTGGAAATCACTACTAATTTTATCACTTGTTTCCTTAAATTCTGTTTTGATATTTGTTGTCCCAATGAAAACATTTTTGTAAGTTTTGACCGACTGACATCTTCACAAGTTAAACGACTACGAAGGGTGAAAGAAAGAATGTACATGTAGGGAAACTCTAATGAAGTTTGTAAGCTAAATGGTCTGATAAACCTGGAGATTAGACGCCTTAACTCTATGTTTACTCAAAAACTCTTGTCTTGCAAAAACTATTCACGTATGTGGAAACTCTTTAAAGAACTTACAGGTGACAAATAGATTAAGAGCGATAAATATCTGAATGTTGGTGGTGCAAGAATACGCAAACAATGCTTCGAAGACATCTATGGTCTATTTAAAAGGACAGTGGTATTGTTTCTCGTTGAGTTAATTAACTGTTTTGATCGTTAATTACGCATCAGAACTACTGTTTTCACTATAACTGCATCTACCCCAGTTAAAGTGATAGTATATTGAGGTTTTCGGTTTTGTTTTGTGTATTTATTGCATCGAAGCATTCTTGGTCGACTTTTACTTGATTTATTTAGTTAAGGTTTGAGAATCTTTTTACATATCCCGTTTTGTCACCGTTCTAGTTGATTTTCAAGATGGCTAGATCTGCTCATAAATATGGACAACCATATTGCTTATTTCCCGTGGAGGAAGGGATGCATTGTGATGAGTGTAATAAGTGGTTCCATAAGATGTGCACCCGATCAAGCCCCACTGCATATAAAAGGTGCTCAAAGCCCAAATCTCATAGGCTTTGTAGTTTTTGTTGCTCGAGCAAAACATTGCTTATCCAGGAAGCAATTAGTTTCTAAGTGTTGGCAAATAAGAAGGTTGATGAAGGCTGTACTGGCAACATTGGTACTGATAGTGAAGATTGCGTTAGTGTCGTAAATGCTGTCACGGCGCAAGCCAGACATCCAACTGTGCAACCCGCTATTGCTACAGCAGCAACCGGTGACCCAGATAAAACAATTACTGTCCCGAGTGGGTCTAATGTGGATGCTAAGACTGATGGAATATGGATGACGCGAAAACGCAGAAGAATAAGAAAGACAGCTAAAACTAATGAACGTTTACTTGATAAGTCCTTGGTAGATTCTCAGACCACTCCGCCAAAGTCCCATAGTAAAGCTTCGTCTAGCATTGTGAGTCACTCCCTCGACTCACAGGACTCAGTTACAATAAAAACTAAACGTAAGATACCAGGAGTTAAAATACAGGATCTAACGTCACGGTCGAAAGCTGTGAACACAGTTTCAAAAGAAGCTAAACCCCTCCCTAGTTTAATTTTTTGGAATCTAGAGGAGTCGAAAGACAACGACCTTGCTAGAAGACATGCACATGACCTGCAGTTAGTGGAGTCTGTGGTAAGGAATGTACTACCTGAAAAGGTTTCAGGGGTACATATTACAAAAGTAATATGACTTGGTAATTGGGTTGGAGGCGAGACCCAATCAAGAAGAATCCTGAAGCTGGTTCTCGGGAGTTTTGAAGAAAGAGACATATTATTGAAAAACGCACCAAGAACTCGTGACTCAAATATCCGTATTCGACCAGATTGGCCGCTTTAGGATCGAATCAAGTGGAAGAATGCTCTTACAGAGTTGGGAACTCGCAAA